GATTCCACTCAAAAGTGAGGCAACAGAAGCAGCACTTATGTTTGGAGTCAGACAGATGTGGGTACAGATTTTATCTCTAAATAACTATGTGATTTCTCACTGCTTCAATGTCTTTATCTGTGAAATAAAGACTTCAGAGGGTTTAAGATTAAATAGATCAAATGCATAAAATACCTGAATCTTATCTTAGTCCATGGCCATTTCCACTATTGGTTCACTAACAGAACCTTGCTTTTCAATCTTATGAGAAATAAGTAATAAAAAGAACAAGCAGACTTTAAGAGAAACCTAATGCTTCTAAGAAAGGTCATTCTGTAACTACTGCATATAAAGAAATATCAACTGCCTTTATTTTGGCTGATCAAGATGCTAACATTTCCTAATGGCTGGGCAGAGTTCCTAACCAGCATGGACTGAACTAAAGAGGTGCAGATGTCTGCATATGAGGACATACTATTTGGGATAAAAGAAGTATTAGTGTGAAAAACAGAAACTAAAAATAGAATACTTCTCAATATAAGCCATGGGCATAGTTCTGAAAGAGCTGGAGAGAGAATAAAATTCAACAGATTTAAGTATATCAATAAATAAGAAGTTGAAATTTTATATCTTTGTCCTATTTGGTATTTCTGGTTCATTTAGCAACATAGCTTATAAATCTGAAGAACAAAGCTATTTATTACAATTATTTTCTGCTTTTGAACAAGAACTGTCGGTCTTGACATGGCCACTTAAACCATGATTCACAATTTTGAAGAAGTCAACTGATCCTTTCATTTTACCAATTCCTGGCATTTTCCAAGTCACAGAAGTAACACAGAATTATGGTAAAGCTTATATAATTAAATGGCTTTGACTGTGAGTTATCTTACCTCAAGCAGCAAAAATAAAGGCTAAAACAGGAGAGGCATGAAAGTACCAGCAAATAGGATCAGACCTCAAGAAACAGCCCTGACCAGGAAGCTTCTTTTGTCCTTGTGGGCCTGAGACTAATCAGCCTACTCCCCTGAGATGCTGACAGCCCGGTGGCATAAGCAAGAAGGGTCCCAACACAAGCACCTGACCCAGGAAGCCTCTCTGTTCCCATAGGCTGGAGACTCCCTCTTCCCCACATTGAGAGGCATAAGGCAGCCTGGCCTGTGGAAACTCTTTCCACCCTTCAGAAAGCAGCAGCAGAGATCACTGGGAACTTGTGTGTCAACAAATAAAACAAGAAGACCAAAATGCACAGCAATAGCTCTGAAAATTAAATTGTTATTAAACTACAGGCCACCAGAAACATCTAAGACTCTCTAGGTAAGCAGTGTGATTCCCTGCTTAAATGAAAGATTTAAACTTAATAGGACCCAACATCTTCTAACATAATAGCTAAAATATCCAGAATTCAATAGAAAAATCACCCATCATACCAAGAAGCAGCAAAATGACAACTTAAATAAGAAAAGACAATCAACTGACACCAATACCGAGGAAGATGTTGAAATTATAAGACAAGAATTTTAAAACAGCTGTCATAAAAATGTTTCAATAAGCATTAATTCTCTTGAAACACAGGAAAATACAGCAAATATCAGCAAAGATATAGAATTTATAACAAATAAACAGAAATTATAGAACTGAAAAGTACAATAAGAAATGTAAAATCTTGCTAAATGGGCTCAATAGTAGAATGTTGATCACAGAGGACAGAATCAATGACTCTAAGAACAGATCAATTTTAATCTGGTGTGAACAAGAGAGAGACAATAATACTAAAAAAAATTAACAGAATCTCAGAAAGTTGTGGGATAATAACCAAAAAAATCAAAGTTCTTATCATCAGAGCCCAAGTAGAAAAGGAGAAAAAAAGAGTATTCAAAGAATTAACAGTTGAAAATCTCCTTTATTTGGTGAAAAAGAAATGTACATACCCAAGAAACTCAGTGAATCTAAATAGGATAAACTCAAAGTCCACAGACCCACACACCAAGATGTGTCATAATTAAATTTCTGAACACTAAAAAAAAGGAAGGAAAAAAAAAGTCCTAAAAGCAGTCAGAGAGAAACAACACATTACCTATAGGGAAACACTAATTCAAAACAACAGCAGATTTCTCATCTGAAACCACAGAGAACAAAAGAAAACAGCACAACATTTTATAAGTGCGGAACAAAAGCAAATGTTAGCTCACACATTTCCAATCTCTTAAATATTTTCATTTATTAATCGACAGAATATTAGATATCCTAATGGTAGTATGTCGAATGATGATTTTAATAAAACTAAATGCAGACTGATTTTCTAAAATTATGACAAAATGATTACAAACTTCAAAAACAAAAAAAAATACATGTAATAAACATTTACATAGCAATATTACTCTCACTTAGTTTCTAGACTAATTAGTTTTCTAAAGTAAAAATCATGCACCCAAAGGTAAGTTCAATTAAATTTGTAAAAAAGTGCTTTATAATTTTATAATAGTTCTTTAGAATAAAATAATAGTTCTTACCTTCTGGAGTTGGAATGCACCCCAAGAAAATAAAAAAGGGAAAAAAAACAGCTTTTAATTTTTCTTTACAAAGCAACAATAAAGCCAAAAAATAAACTCTCTTCCCCTCCCAGCAATACTCACAATTCTTAAAATTTGTACCCTCCTGCACCTTGTCATAAAACATTAATTTATTCTTAAAATTTACAAGTTAGTCCAAAATATCAGTGTCTAACAATACACAATTAACTTCAGCTAGTCTAAACCACTTCAGATAACAGTTAGAGTACCCTAATTATGTGCCAGAATAAAAATTACTACAGCAGTTTAGAGTTAAATGTGGATACAACGAATATTACCCTGTTCTTTAATATTCTTCCCATGCATTTCAATTTCAAGGAGCCATCATGAAGCCATCAGCTATGGACCCTAAGGTTTAGTAGGTTCCCTTTGATCCATAATAGAACTCATTGTGAAGCTGAATAACAATGGATAGGAATATTCTTTTCTGTCAATGTCCAAGCTTTTTGTTTTTTTCATTATTAGTCCTTTCTGATATCCCAACCAGGTTTGCGGGCTTGAAAGCAGAACTGCAACTAGCTAATAAAGAAAATGCAGGCCAGACTCAAAGGTATCAGCCAACCCTGGATATATATGGTATCAATTTAATAATGTTCTTCATTCTTAAACTAAGCTTTCTAATGAAATCACCTCAAGGCAATTCAGCTTGGCAACCAGTCAAATGACCTACTCTGTAAGGATAATGATTTCTGTTGAAAAGTAGTAGGGAATGTTGACTTTTATTTCCCCTGCTGTATACTTTTACATAAGAAGACGTGGGGAAAATTAGGTGATGGGATTTGTTTTTGGTATGAGGCGAGCTAAAACATACTTAAATATCACGAGAGAGATTATTCTGTTCATAAGTAAATGTATTAATACTAATTGGGTGCAATGGAGACCCCTCTCAAAGAGGTAGAAATTCAATCTGGCAAATGTTTATTGAGCATGATCTTTAAAAATCAAACTACCGAAAATTAAACATAAAGAAATTATCTTGAAAGCAATCAGAGAAAACAAATTATTACTTATATGAAAACAATGACTCAAACAACCATGGATTTCTCATCAAACTATGCAGGCCAGAAGGAAGCAGCAAAGCAACATTTTTTAGTGCTGAAAAAAAAAGAATCATCAACACAGATTCAATATCCAGCAAAAAAATAAAATAAAATAAAATAAAATAATAATGATAAAAACCCTTCAAAATAAAGGCAAAACCAAACAATCAAAAAGACATTTCCAGGTGAAGGAAAACTAAGAGAATTCCTCAGCAGCAGACATGCTTCAAAAGAAATCCTAAAAGGAAAATTCTTCAGGCTGAAGGAAAATGATACTAAAGGAAAATGAGGAACTTTAGAGAAGAAAGAGCAAAAGAGTAAACATCTGGGTAAACACTGTTAGTCCTTGAATCATTTATGACTGGAAAGAAAAATCAGTAACTCTGTCTGGTGGGGAATTCCATGTATGAGATGTAACGCCTATGACAACCGTGACAATAAAGAGGACAAGCAATGGTTCTGAGGCTTCTACCTTTTATTTAAGGCAGTAAAATATTAACTCAAAGTCAATGAAAGGTTTGGGTGTATACATCTCTAAAGCAACCACTTAAAAAACAAATAAACAAAGAGATATAGCCAGAGTCAAAAAATAAAATATACTAGAAGACACTCAAATAATTCAAAAGAAGGCAGTGGGGGAAGGCAGTAGAGAGGGGACAGTGAAATAAAAAATAAGTAACAAAATAAATGATAAAATGGTAGACTAAATCTAATAATGTCAAAAACTATATGCTATCCATAAAAAATCCCACTTTAAATATAAAAAGACACAGATAAAATTGCTTGATGTTCAGAGTAAGACTGAGAAATCTAAGAACCTACACAGCGAACAGTGGTGTTATCAATTTGGCTGGGGTGCAGATGGAAAGAAATCAAGTATATAGAAGTGGTACACAGGATCAATCATCTCCGTTATTCTATGGAAAAACTACTAAAGGTTTCTGTGTCCGTTATCAATTTAGTGACTTTCAACTCTAAATCCAACCTTTGCTGCCCTTCTCTGTGATAGCAGAGCTGGACCCTATAAACCTTCCTTTGCCAACTGGCTCCACGTTAAGTTTTGTCAGTAGAGTGCTGGAAGGACACTGCAGAAATGCAGAAAGAAGGGGGGAGCTTTTCTTTCTGGTTTTCGTGTGTTCTTGCCTGCCTGCTCTTATGGCATGCACACCAAGCAACATGAGGGACACTCAATGGCATGCACCCTTCAGCAAAGTTCAGCAGAACGTCTGTGGGTGGCTTCCCAGAAATTTCTGCTGGTGCCTCAGCTGGCACCTCAGAGTGAGCTGGACAGGTTCCCAGCAGGAAGCTTCTCACCAAGTTCTTCTAGTACGCAGTAGGCGGTTTCCCATGCTGTGTCCCCAGGCTACAGCACCAGTGAACTTTGCCACCCACTGGACCAGAGCCCAACCTTCTCCATGGAGACCTGAATTGTAACCTAAGGACATGGAGGGACCTCCTTGAAAGTTATTCTTTCCTGGGGCACACTGCTTCAGCCCTAGAGGTACAGTTGTCCTCTGTATCTGCTATTACTGTATTCTTTTGTGTTCTCTTTATCTTTTAATAGTCATTTTCTGGTTAATAAGTTAATAACCAGTTAACTTAATAACTTCCCTTTTCAAATTACCATGTAGCTTCTGTGTGCTGCCTGGACCTTGAGAACTACAGAACTGTATAGCTCAAAGACTGCAAAGAACATTTAAAAAATTTTTTTAGGTTAATGAAAAAATAAAAAGTAATGCCCCCAAACCAAGAAACAGCTCCATGAAGCTGCGTGGGCATAGCTCTGAGTACATTTGGGAGAATGGGGTTTGAATTGCCTCTGAAACTTCATGACCAATGGCATAGTCTGTAATGGTAGGAAGAAGTATGGACTCAAGT